TCCCAGGGGCGCCACAGGGGCGGGGCTGGCCCTCTGGCTGCCCCTGGTGTTGCTTCCGGAGGAAGCCCCACTGAGCCCGTAGGAACACTGCGCCTGGTGGGGACCAGCGCTGTCTCTCTCACTCCGGCAGGCCCTGCGTGTAGACACAGGGGTGGCTGTCCCCTTGCAGGTGCCCAGGGTTAGCGCGGCAGCGACTGGCACATGCGCAGTCCCCGCCACCGGCCACCATGCCTGCTCCCCACCTAGGCGTTTCTCAGTTAATTCTGTGAATTTGGGGCCATGTCAATACCCCCATTTTGCAGGCCGAGAGACTGAGGCACAGAGCAGGAGGGGGCGTGCCCTCGGGCCCAGGTGCCCAGCTCTGGAGCTGGGGGCAGGGCCACTCCTGCCCGACCACAGAGCCGTGGCTCAGCCCCACACAGGCTGCCCCCAGCCAACGGGGCTGCCATGGCCACACGCGCTGACGGCTTCCACAGATTCTCCATCTGCCTTTCTTTTTTTAAACATATTTTTATTGATGTCAGAGAGGAAGGGAGAGGGAGAGAGAGAGAAACATCAATGCTGAGAGAGAATCATGGATCGGCTGCCTCCCGCACGCCCCACACTGGGGATGGAGCCCGCAGCCCGAGCCTGTGCCCTGACCAGGACTCGAACCCTGACCTCCTGGTTCAGAGGTGGACGCTCACCACTGAGCCAGCCGGCCGGGCTCTGCTGCCTTTTCTATGCACTGGCTGGGCTCCCCCTCCTCATGCCCGTGGGCCCGTGAGCACGGCTGGGGGACAAGGCACCCATCCGGGGATGAGGCCGCCCCGAAGGGCCACCCGGGATGCCTGCCCCAGGGGGTCTGCAGGGCACACGCACGGAGGGCCAGGTGGGACCCACTGACCCGCCGGCCGAGTTCACTCTGGGGTCGGGCGTGGTGACAACGGTGGGAAGCTCAGCTCACTCGGACGGAGGGGCTTCCTCCTCCAGACGTGGTCTCCGGGGGCCCAGGCCGCGCTGAGGTGGCAGCTTTCCCGCCACGGGACCCCGAGAACCCAGAGGCCTCGTGCGGGGTGGCCACTGCGCAGGCAGCCGGGCTCCCAGTCCCCAGCTGCCCACCCAGATGGTCTCTCAGCCCTGTCTGCACGGGGCTGTGGGCTGGAGTCCAGCTCGGTGCCCTGGAGAATGGTCCCTCGACTTCTCTGGTTTCTAGAAGGTTCCCCTCCGTGGCCACTCCCCTTCCCTGTCTCAAAGCCGGCTGAGCTCCATCTCGAAGTCCTTCCTCCCTCACGTCCCTTGGACGCAGATGGTTCTCCCGTCCAAGGGCCCTGGTGACGAGGTGGGGCCAGGCAGGCAGATCATCCCGCTAAGCCCCGTGCTGAGCCTCTTAACGTAATCCCATCACCCGATCCCTGTCCCCGTGCGGTCAACAGGCCTCGGTCCCGGGATGGAGACACGGCACCTTTGGGGGCCCTTATTCCGCTGGGCACGTCCTGTGTGGGGTGACCTGGCCTGTCCGGGCGGTGGGTGGGCTGGGAGTTGGCCTCCTAAGGGGCCCCTCAGGCCGTGCTGACCAGGGATCCCACCCGCTTGGCTCAGGGGCCCTGTGCCGTGTCTGTGGGATTTCTCCAGGACCCGGGCCCACGGGGCAGCTCAGACCCACTCCCTGTCCTCTATCTATTTTTTAAAATATAGTTTTATTGATGTCAGAGAGGAAGGGAGCGGGAAGGAGAGATAGAAAGATCAATGATGAGAGAGAATCATCGATTGGCTGCCTCCCGCACGCCCCACACTGGGGAGGGAGCCCATGCCTGGGCATGTGTCCTGACCGGGAATCGAACCCTGACCTCCTGGTTTATGGGTCGATGCTCAACCCCTGAGCAGGCCGGCCGGGCTGTCCTCCATCTGCCTCAGTGCTCTGAGCGGGAGCCCAGGAAGATGTGCCCGGGAGGCGAGCAGCAGGGCCATTCGCCCCGGCAGAGCAGAGCGTCCCGGACAGGGCAGCCTCCTGTGGT